CTCTCCTAAACCAGTTTTAGTTTACCAAGGCTGAGCCTATTTTCATAAATAAACAATAGCAGAAATTCACATGTACCGATTGCTGTTTGGCAGTTGTATGCCTTAAGTAAATTCTTTTTTTTTTTTTAAACGCCTGCCAATAGTTCTATAAAGCAGGTAGTACAAGATTTCACAATTAAAGGTATTTCAGAATTAAAGATATCCTGGGATCTTTTGCCTCTGGAGTCTACAGAATTTTGCTTATAGGTGGCCATGCTTCTTTTGCTCCATTTGGGTAGAAGTCACAAACAGGCAGCATGTAGCCCTTTCAGTTCTACCAGCCCTGAGCCAGTAGCTATCAGATACTAGTGTTAGCAGCCCTCCTGCACACTCTGGCAATCCAGAGCCAACAGCTACTAAGCGCCCTCAGAGACTTTCTATGACCAGAGACCAAGTCTGTGGCAATTCTCCTTCACTGTCCAATCGTTTCTGTGGCTGGTAGCCATGCTAGAGCTGTCAGTCCTGGCTGCTGTCCACTGTCAGCTCCAGTGGCCTCTGGTGGTAGCAGTTCTTAGTGTTTTCAGCTCAGTTTGTCTTACTTGAGAAAGAAGTCATGGACAGGCAAAGACACGTCAGCTAAGAATAACTTTATTAGGACTTACCTTACAGCATAAGTGGGAACAGCACACCAGTGACCCACTACTGGTAAGAGGAAAGTAGCTTGTCTAGGAAAACAATGTCAGGACTGCGTATGAGCAGTGTCAGACCTTCTGCTTAGTCTTGGGGAAGGGGAGCCTCCTCATGGACCTCTCTGAGGACAGAGAGAGGCGGGGATGGGCTGGGTGGGCACAGAGCCATCCAGGGGCGCAGAGAGGGGAGTGGTCTGGAAGGGTCACATCTGAAGGAATCTCGCTGCAGCCAAAGCAAATGTCGCCTGGAGTGGCCATGAGCATCCGATGTAGCTGTGGCCAGCATTCGGGACAGCAGCAGAAGGAAAAAAAAAAAGTAAAAAGTACCTCTTGGGGACCATAGTGCACTTATCTGCTGTTTAATTATCTCTACTGTGTGAAGCTTGTCCCCTAAGGCACAGAGCTGGTGAGAGCCAGAGTACCTTCCTTTTGGAATGTTGAACTGGATGAATGAATTGAATAGCAATCCATACTTAATGCAATTTAGTAAGAAATGAAGAAATAATCATTTTCCCATTAGAAGAATAAACACAATCCTAAAATGTTAATTTGCTAATTACTTCCTATGCTTCCTCCTGGAGGATCTAATCTGGTACTGAAGCTTATACAGCTTGTATCAGCACAGGCATTCCAACCTTCTCATATCACTAAACTCCCTGACATTTAAGTAAGATTAAAATGGACAAATGAAATATTATCAATAATCTTTTCTGTATAATATGGTAAAATGGGTAAAACATGATGAGTTACTTTTATTTAAAAATATTATTCTATTTTGACTGACAGATGTTAAGATTTTAGTGTTAGCATTAATTTGTTGTCTTTTAATTATACAATTACTACATTCATTTTCCTTAGTGAAAAGAAAAAAAAATCCCAGTTGCCAAATAATGATATATTTTCGGGGGGCTTAATGTGTAGTCTCATTAGATTTCTATTTTTCAGCTGGCAGAAGTTTATGAAGTCAGTATTTGTTTATCTTGAGAGAATTTTGCTTGCACATTTTAAAGATAAAATTACCATTTTCCTTAAGCTATTTGTGACAATATTTGTCCTTAACTATTAGAGCAACAAAAGTTTTTCACTTTGCAATCTTATGCAGTTCCAATGGGTTTCATCTGCTCTTCCAAAAACACTAATAGAATACTGTACCTGTTGCATGTTTTTACAAACAATATTTTTTGTTCTTCATTTTTGAAAGGTATGTTTATCTAGAAGTCTATGAAGCAATCTGAGATTTGTTTCATATTTTTGAAAATATTGATTTGAACTTTAATGCCAGACATCCTTATATGGTACTCTTCTTGTGTGTTGTTTTAATAGTTAAACAAATAAAAACAGCTGTTTAGAATACTAATACTAATGTTTCCAGAAAGACAGAGATGAGTTCCTCTCCACTGCAGAACATACCGCCCTTCTCTAGCCACAGGAAATATTACATTAAAATATTAGCAGAGCACCAGGGTTCTCTTTGGTTCCTCCCTACTTGGCTGGACCTTCAAGGGAAAAATTCAGGGAAGAAACAACTTTGATATCGATATTGTTACTGATATGTAGAAAATTGATGATAATAACAACTGCAAATTTTGAATTTTGTACTTTAAAGTGGCTTTGAAATACATTTTCCTCTACTTTGGCTTCCCAACTCCTCTGTTGGGATGTACTAACCCCAAGACAAGAGCGAAAAGTCCACCCCTCACCCACTATTAGCAGAGTCACAAATTAAACTTGGGACCACAAGGCTTGTTACCTAAGTTCCACTGTAATTTTCATAATTAGATGCTATGGAGCATAACAAATAAAAAGGAAGTTAGAAATCAGAAGATATTCAGATAAACCTTAGGTGGTAAAACTTTCCTCTTTTTAACCTAGAGGAATCAATCATGGGATCGATGTGCTCGAAATGGTACAGAAACAAACCAAGCTTGGTCTCACCATATGAACTTTGGATTTTGTTCCAGCTGCAGACATTTTTTGAGACATTCCTGAAGGCCAGCTCCCCTCTGCAGGCCTTGGACACTATGAAGGAAGCAATCAGCAAGCTCCTGCTGGCAGCTGAAGTGTTCAGTAAAACATCTACTCTGGGACCAGAGACCTCCCATAGGTAAGAGCAAATTTTGATTTCAAAAGAAAGAAACATGTCTTCTCCGATTGGTTAGTGAGAATGTGTCCTAACTGTAAGTAGGTGGTTGCAAAGTTTCATGCCACTGCAGTACAAATATGATCTGCCAAACATATATGACCCATTTTATAGATCCTATAGTTTTAGAGCATGCTGCACATTTGTTATAGTGAATGGTGGTGGCAAGAACTACAGCACAAAATTGTAAATTAATTTTTTAAATTGCAGTTTCTCTTTTAGTTGAGCTATTTCTATCATATGTGCTGAGTGTGACTCAATGTGACTTTGCCTATGCACAATAAATTTTGTTCTCAAGGTCTTAAACACTTTCCTCATTACTAGAATAACGTCGATAATCACAACTCAGAGGAAGAGAAGCTTATTTTGGCTTATAGTGACAGTCTATGCTCCTTCGAACTGTGGTCTCCACAGCAGAAATGGGGGCAGAAGGGCTTGGTAGAGGAAGAGCTGCTGGCAGCGTGTGGCAGGAAGTGGGGCGCAAGCTGGAGGGTGGCGAGGTGGGGCGGCGGTGGCCACGGCCCCCCGGCCACTGCAGCTGGGCCCTGGCTCCGGGGACAGGTCAGCCACAGCACCCTCAGGACCAAATCATCTTCCAAACAGCCAGGCCTTTGGAGCCATTCTGGAGCTAAACTATTGCATCAAGCATTCCAATGATTTCAGAACTGTGGAGAAAGGAAGAAAGCCTTTGGTCAACCAAGTTCAATGACTTCTGTCCTCATTTCTTGCAACTTACTGTTTTCTCCATTCAGTGCAAGCAAAAGCCAAAGATGGCTTGGTTTACTCTACCCAGTCGTTATACTTTCCGCGTGAATGAACGCCTGATATGTAGGACGGGGAGATTTTATCTCCACTGTGAGGTTTTCATGGGAGCACTTCCCCATTTGATTTAATCTGCTATGAATAACTTAGATACTTTTGTATTTTCTATAAGAAAGAAACAGGTCCCAAATCAAAAAATGAGTTACTTGTCATTTTTGATTATCCAAGCCATTGCTGTTGTAATTAGAACAAATGTTGAAATTTAAACACAGCAATTATTAACAATAAAATTCCAAATAACAGCTCTGGTAAGCATAGTGAAGAGGTTGTATTTTCACATTACCTTATGTTTCTATTTCAGATGTAGATTATGTTTTCAGCTTTTAACTTTTGATATTGGCTACGGCAGTATCACATACCCTGTGGTGCTTCAGGTGAGGATGCCAATGACTTCAAGAGTGTGTGTGTGTGTGTGTGTGTGTGTGTGTGTGTGCACTTTCATTCATGATGACCAATGGATGCACAGCAACTTGCATTAAAGTCACTCAAGGCTTTGGTCCTTTTTGGTCGAAGGACAGCACGTGGGGGAATTTATGACTTCCATCCTCCAATAGACTAGATAAAAATACTTAAAATGATTATTTATTTTTGTTTATTTATTTATTTGGTACAAGATCTCACTACGCAGCTTGGACTGGTAGTGATCTTCCTGTCTCTGCCTCCCCAGAGCTGGGATTACAGGTGTGTGCCACCACGCCCTGCTTTTGGGCCAGCACAGAACAACCGGGGTTCTGACGCTACAGGGCATGCACTACTGGGGATCAAACCCAGGTCCTTGCACTTGCCAGGCAGTCGCTGAGACCGCTGAACTATCTCTCTAGCCCAACAAGCACTTTTCTATGATTCAGCTACGGCTTCCAAAGAAAAGGCCAATATGTGTTAATGGAAAAAAGCAAGGCATACCGATAGGGAAAACAACAGGCTATCCGGAGTGCATTGCACACCGCGTGATGGAAAACACAGTCTGCTGTGCTTTATGTACAGACATCAAGTTTAAAGTTGAAATTAAATATTTGAATTTTAAAAGCCATGGGAATCTTGAAATAAATTTTTTCTGATATATATATATATGATATCTGATATATAGATAGATAGATAGATAGATAGATAGATAGATAGATAGATAGTGTTTTTGTGCACTTTGATTCTTTCCAAATTTCTGGTGCCCAGGGAGATGGCTCAGTAGAAGAAGCACTTGCCTGGCAAGCACAGGGTCCTGAGTTCAATCCTCGGTACTGCAAAAAAAAAAAAAAAAAAAAAAATCTGCTATTAAATGAACATTTTCAATAATCTCCCTCCACATAAGCCATCAAAATGTCAAGATAATAAGCTGTTTCTTGGCTTATGAGATGAGAAGAAGGGAAGAACAAATTAAAATTATGAATAATGAAAATTCAACTTTGCCTAGCATTTGTTTGCCAACTTTAATACAGAGAAATCAATTAAGATATTTGGTTCAATGGCTTTAAGATTTACCTACGTAAGGTTAAAGCTTTATGAAATGAAGTATTTTAATGGCCATTTATTATTTTGCATACACATCTAGTAGCTGGTATTATGTTTTTTAAATGTCTAGTTCAGAAAAATGTTACATAGTATCTTTCACGAATGCAGATTTGTTAAATAGAAAGGGTTTCAAGATAAGCCAGTATGGTTTTATAATACTTACTTTATTTCCTTATATATTACAGCATTGTATTTCTTCTTTCTTTCTTTCTTTCTTTCTTTCTTTCTTTCTTTCTTTCTTTCTTTCTTTCTTTCTCTTTCTTTCTTTTGTATTTTAGGAAAGGGTCTACAGGGTGTTCAGGGTCTCACTACTCATAGTGATCCTCCTGGTTTACAGCCTCCCAAGAACTGGGATTACAGGTGGGGGATCCTACGCAGAATGTCAATTGCCCTCTCAGAGAGACCAGGGGCAGGGCCAGCTTGGCAGGCCTGGGGATGGAGCCACGGGGCCCCTGCGCCCGCAGGCACTTCAATTCGCTGAGCAAATTGTATTTTAAAAAACATAGCTAACATTTATAAAATTGCTGGCCTCCTGAAAGACCACTAGATGTCAGTTCTGATCTACATTCCAACAGGAAATAAATCATGTATTTAAGTTGGCTATGAAAGTTAATGAAAGTATTTGCTGTGCTTTTACCCTTACAAAGGTGCATGAGCATTTAAATTTTCAAGACGATGATAATATGGATTTTGAGGACCAAAATACAGAAGAATTTCTTTTAAAAGACACTTTTGATTTTCTCTTCTCCAATGACTCTTCACTGTTTGTATTTTCTGAGATATTTCACAGACTTTATAAATCAGGTGTATTTAAGGTAAGTGTATATTTGTGCACTGACTAATATTTTCTCAAATCATTCTCTAGGCGCTATTTTTAAGCAATTTGAAAATCATTTAAGATTAATTTGTATGTTATATTACATCCCTTAAGTTCTTCTGACCTGAAGTCCATTATTTTTAGATCAACTGGAGTATGAAAGTGAATGATTGTGATGAAATTATGGGCTAAAAATAAAGATTGAAATTATAACATCAATCTTCACGAGCCTGCGTGCCAGTTACCATGTTTAGCTAGATGCCAGTGGTCAGGGGGTAGCAATCCAGAGTAGAACTGGCGATTGTTATGGCACATTAACGCAAGCATTTTTGGTATATAAAAATATATATACAGTACAAAACTGAATATCGTTCTTCACATATTTTTCTTTTTCTGTTTTTGAAACCTGTATTTGGAAAATTTGAAACAACAGAATATGAGAGGTTTCACAAGAATTGTTATGTCTTTCACAAATAGCAGAGTCCAGGGATGGACTGTGGAAATAAAAGGACATTGGATAGTGGGTGGGAGAAAGGTATCTGCTTACTACAGTCTGTGAAACCCCAAAATAGTGCTGCCTCACACTTGAGGTTCCGTGTAAATGCTCCCTTGAGGCCCTCCCGCTCAGTGCCCAGGAAGCAAGAGAAGACCCCCAGCCCCACCCCGAATTCTCAAGCTGATGGCCACACCCATTTTGCTGTCCTGGGTGCACCCAGCCTCACCACCAAAACATCATGGAGTCATTTAGCCCGGGTCTGGATTACCAGATACGAAGTTTTCTTACATGCAGATGTTATTTTGACAAGTTCAAATTACTGTGCTTCATGTAACATTCATTAAGTTAGCTGTTTATAAAGTTTAAAAGTTGTTTTTATGAAGGAGGAGACCACTGGGGTAAGATGACTTGCTTTTTGAGAAATTTCTTGTTTTTTCTTTAATTTAGGGTGAAAACCACCCAAAGGAACGCAATCAATGTCTATCATTAGATGAAGTTCATTTAATTAGGACTTTTATGAAGGAACTTGGGCATCTGGGACAATTCCAACTGGTAAAACAAGTGACTTAATTCATGTTAGGTTCTGAGATAATGGTCAATCAGCCATATACTGCCTGCTTCTGCCATCAAAATAAGTACAAACTAAAAATCTTGGAGGCATCCTTCTTCCTTTCAGAGATTGAGACAGTAACATGTATAAGATCTATGTAGTTTACTTTAAGAGTATGCAAACAAGCAGCAACTTATTAAAGGTAGAAGAATGTGGCACTCTCATAATCACCAGGATTTGCCAGTTCTTGGTAGAAGAAGGTCAGCATTTTTCTTAATAGGTTTTGCTTTTAGTTTTGAGACATTTACTTGTGGTCAATATTAATTTCTGCTTCTTATGCCCTTTTAGCTTTTATAAAATAAAATATAATTAAATGTACCAAGAATATTTCAGAAAATCACCTAAATCTTAATTTGCCATAACTACAAAATAGCAAAGAAAGCAAATATTTACAGTGACTTGTACTGGTTTCAGTCTTTAGAAAGGTATTAATTTTCTCTTCTATATATTTTCTTGAGTTCAATTAACTTATTGGTTGGTATCAGAGGATATTTATTACATATGAATATCCATACTCAGTGTATGTATCCTTTGTTTCTACCTCTGAAGCTTTTATAAACTATAATAATTTGCAGTTTCACCATATAAAACAGAATTTTAAAAATATTTTAAAGGAAGTTTATTAATAAGAAGGTAACATTTGACTCAAATTTTTAAAAAGTTGTCTAAGTTGTAGCCAGTTTACTAACCAATGAATGTTTGACATTTGTTTTTATAATTTAACCCCCTTTGGGGAGTGATTCAAGACAATTTAATTGCTATATTTATTTTTAAATTAATTTACATATAGTAAGCATTACCTTCATGGTTACTTGATTGAATCCTATAGAAAGATAATCAGAGACCAGGATTCACCTTCAGGGATGTGTAACCTAGGAACGCTGGGCGTGCAGAGTGTGTCTCATGGTGCACTGCCACTGAAGGACTAAATGATTATGCTGCAGGAGCAAGGCAAACCCTAATTTCCCGATTACTGGGGTAGAAATTAGAAAATTGTAAGGAGTGTGTGTGTGTGTGGGTGTATGTGTGTGTGTGCATGTGTGTGTGTGTGTGTGTGGTTACTGTTTTTCACCCTGACAAAATTCACTTGTAACACAAGAGACTTTGTCTTCTTTTTTCCCACTGCCTGGCTCCCTCTGTTCCCTCTGTTTTCAGGTGTCTTTAGCAGGAAGGAAAAATCCATTACTACTCATCTGAAAAGAAAGAAAAAACACCCCATTTGGAAATACGATTATTAAAAAAATTACTTCCTTATTTAAAACAATTGCCATTTACTTCCATAACCACGCAGAAAGTCAAGTTATGGTTATTGGCCCATGTGTTGTTAATAAGTCAATAAATACATTAATTGATTTTTAAAAAATATCGAACTAAGTATTAAACCTTTTCTAGTAATAAAACTGTGCTTCTGTTTACTTTCCACGGCTCATTCTGATGCTTTGCGTTTGCATATTTCTCCTCAGCTCTTTGCCTCCAATCCTCGAATTCAATCTTTGATGCATGAGGTTTATGATACAAGAAATCCTATGGGAAAACCTGGCTCAGTCCTCACTCAACACTGGTCTCTTTTAAATATACTGGAACAATTTTGGCTCATGAATAAAAAGGCACAGCTACATCCACTGGAATGGTAAGATAGCCACAAATTTGAATAGTACCATCCAAAAATTCTCCCGTCTAAAGATTGATTTCAAAAGCCTTTGCCTACATTAAAGAGAGTAACAAAAAGTAGTGTGTCCAAAAATTCACGCTCTGGAAAATAAATGTCTTCAAAGCACTGAAACCATAATGATTCTAGTGGTCTTCAAACTCTGAAACAAAAATACATCCAAAAGTTCTTCAAACCAACAAGACTTGAATCCACTATAAAGTCATGCTTACAATTAACAGTTTTAATCTAGCTTTGTGCTTTATGGTGTCTATCCTTGTATTGCTTGGGAAGGAATTAGGTGAATGCTGTAGCATCTGAGTGGCACGTGGTGCAGTATGCAGTAGAAAGGGCGTTTGGAGGTATGACTTTATTCTGGGCAAAACTTCTCAAGATTTATATACAAGTATTCTTTTGTTTATGCTGCTTTGTATGGCAGTTTCCTGTCTCCACTACCATTCTAGTGAGGTAGTAATGAGAGAAAGAGGGAAATAGCATGTGTGAGACCTTCACACCTCCAGTTCTCAGCTGAGTGGGCAGCGCCTAAAGTTGGTCTCCTTTTCTTTTATAGAGATTGAAGTAAAGGAGTATTTGAGTTTTCTGTTGCCAGGAAAGCAGACTTAAACCTGAACCTCCTAGGGAGATGAAAGACTAATAGACTTGCTATATTCATTTAGTCCCCCGCAGTTACCCTGGAGAGCAGCCTCAGTTCTATTGACTTACACTTGCTTTCTTTCTGCCTCTGAAGATAGTAAAAACAATTCTATAAGAAACTCTTTTATAATTAAAAAATACAAATAATCATAAATGTGAAGGTTTATTAGAAAATATCCCAGGGTCAGAACACACTTGCCAGGAGTCTAGGAAGCTGGCCTGTTGCCCTAATACCTGGAAGTCAGAGCCTAGCAGGAGGCTTGTTAGTATGCTTGAAAATTAAGTTTTAAATCATAGAGTGAAAAAACACTTTTTTAAAAAATAAATTATGCAGGACATTTATCATGCCACTTTTAAAAATTTGTAATTTTTTAAAAAAGTAAACATTTCAAAATAATAATTACTACCAGAAAAAAAGCTTTGCTTTTACTTTGTACTCACACGGTCCAGGACTGTCTCATTCATCACTACAGGTGGGAGAACAGATTTGATTTCCCAAGGACCTTATTTATTTATTTATTTATTTATTTATTTATTTATTTTTCTATATACACTATACCTTTAATGGGTTTCCAATTAGGAAGATGAATTTATCTACTGAATGGCAAATG